GGTGGTGGTGGAGGGAATGAAAGCGTGAAGGCATATACATCCATAAACGGAAGCCGGGCGCTTAAATGAAAAGCAAAGTGAATTTCTGTGTCTTGTCATAAAGTAATGAGAGGCGAGAGGTTTTATTCATGGCAAAGGCAAGATGCATGTACTCTCCACCCCGCGCCGGCAGTCCGCGGCCCCCTGATGGATGGCCGGCGACTTGCCGGGAAATATCTGCGCTCTACATAATAGTATAGTTAGGAGCCGCACGGCACGGTCCAGGAGGTTCCATAAAGGTTTATAGCTGGCGGTGTTACTGTAATTTAATCACACGGCGGCTAATGGAGTGCCTGGGCACCGCGGGTGGCTTTTTTATCTGCCATTTGTTAGTGGCTGACAGGGGCCATCATCCCTGCATCAGCAACACATCACGGCGGGGGTTCGGCAGGAACCCCGAAAGTTCCAGAAGGGGCGGACGGTGGCCGTTCCCACGACCACGGCCCCTGGGATGAATGAGCTACCCGTCGGATTACTGTTGTGATCGATGAAAGGAACGCCAGGCCGGCCCTCCGTCCATCCGCCGGCCGGAGGGGAGGGGACAACGTTGTATGTACGTCGCGAGTACAAGTAGCACGACACCCAAGTGAGGCCTTGAGCCAAGTCCAGCCAAGACTGGGAGTGATTTCTGAAGAATCCGCAGGTACGACGTAGACAGAGGTGTTTTTTTTTGGTTGGTTTGTTTTAAATATATACTTTTTATTGACTTCAGTGAGGAAGGGAGAGGGAGAGAGAGAGAGAGAAGCATCCATGATGAGAGAGAACCATGGATCAGCTGCCTCCTGCACGCCCCACCTGGGGGATTGAGCCCACAACCCGGGCATGTGCCCTTGACCGGGAATCGAACCCCAACCTCCTGGTTCATAGGTCGACGCTGAACCCCTGAGCCACGCCGGCCGGGTGAGCCAGAGTCTTTCCCTAAATGCTCTGTGATGTATTCAGGACCGTTAGCATCACAGGAAGCTTAAATCCGTGCCCTCTTGGTAGAATATTCTAGAAAACGTTTCTAACACTTGAACACGAAACGCAACTGCTGTTTTGCCTTCTGTTTACATGTATCCCCTCTTGATAGATAGGTGGGTCGACAGATATAGACAGAGGCCCACAGCCAGCAGGTCCATAAACGGAGCCACATGAATACAGCGAGCGGATGCAAGCACTGTTAGTTAAGACGAGTGAAAAAGAAAGGCGCTGACCCCTGGGAGCGGGGTGACCTGTGCCAAGTAGACGGGGGGCAAATCTCAACCCGACCTTGGACACGTCTCCTGACCTTGGTGACTGAGTCTCAGTGATTCGACCTGCAAAATGGGAGCAATGTGTGGTGTCCGCCCTGCTCATCCCTCTGGATTCTCGTAGGATCCAACAAGATACCGTGTGAAAAGGCCTCTGGGGGTGGAGAGCAACACGCCCCCTCAGCGTGTTGGCCATGAAAGGTATCAAGTCAACATAGAACGGTGCGTCCCGGTACCTTTGATGTAACGTGCAAGCAGCTTTGCTTACAACGTGGGCACAACAGCCACGTGAACAAAGAGATCTGGCCCGGCCGGCGTGGCTCAGTGGTTGAGCGTCGACTTAGGAACCAGGAGGTCAGAGTTCGATTCCCGGTCAGGGCACAGGCCCGGGGTTACGGGCTCCATCCCCAGTGTGGGGCGTGCAGGAGGCAGCCGATCCATGATTCTCTCTCTTTATGGATGTTTCTCTCTCTCTCCCTCTCCCTCCCTCTCTCTGAAATCAATAAAACTTATTTAAAAGGAAGAAGAAAGAAAAGAGAGATTGTCCTTTTGCTCGTGTTTATTGAGCACCTACTATAGTCAGGCACGGGGGGTGGGGACCTTATTGCATTAGGAGAATTGCAACAGCGCGCGGATCTGCGGCGGGTTAAATGTTAACACGGAGCTGAGGCCAGTCACCAACCCTGGAACCTTTGCCCCCGAGACCACACGTCGCTCCATCTTCAGCGTGACTGACCCGATTCTCCGAATGTTTTAATCTGGGGGGACGCACACGCGCCGGAGTTCCCCGCAGACCCCAGCTCACCTCGGGCTGTGCCTCGGGGCCCATGGGGAGCCCCTGAGGCCCTACTGGGGCAGTGGTACATCTGGACTCAAAATGGCCCCGACTGCAGAGTACAGCCTTAGAGGAACGGCTCATGGAGAGGGAACCAGAATCGGGGGAGCGAGCGACCCGTCAGCGCAGAACAGAAATGTCCACACAGGCGGGGGCCTCGCTGACTTTCTCCCGTGGTGGCTACTGCGTTCCCGGTGCCTGGAACGCCGCCCCCTC